TCTTTACTCAGCAGCACTTGAAAGAGGTCTCTTGCAATAGATTTGTCCAATGCAAAACATCTTTTGCTGTCTTGACTGCTGCTTTCATTGGTGTTGATTGTAGAACCAAGTAATATGAAATCTTTGACAACTTCAATCTTTTGTCCAATTATTGTGATGCTGCTTATTGGTCCAATTTTTGTTGGTCCAGGATTTTTGTTTTCTTTACATTGAGGTGTAATCCATACTGCAGACTATAGTCTTTAATCTTCATCAGTAAGTGCTCCAAGTCATCCTCACTATCAGCGAGCAAAGTTGTGTCATCTTAGTAAATATATTCAAAAAAACCCAACTCATTACTTTCGAGTCAGATCCGACTCATAGAGACCCCTCCTTGGGTTTCCAAGGTGGTATCACTAAGGAAGTAGATAGTCCAACCTTCATTCTGAGGAGTGGCTGGTGGGTTTGAATCAGCCTTCAAACAAGCCTTCCGGTTAGCAGTCAAATGCCTTAGGCACTACATCACCAGAGCCAAAATAAATCTTTAGTGCTTTTATTATGTGCTATTCTCTGTCAATTATTCAACAGAGATCTGAGTCCCGGCAATATAAACAGCACATAGAAGCAACAAGTAAGGGAATGTAAATTATTAGAAGTCAGAGTAACAAATATGAATAATTTAAGTGAGCATGAGGCATGCATATGTAAGTCGGTAATAGTTGTAGGTAGCAAGTTCTCCCCATGCATATAAAATCTTATCTATTCCACAAACCCACCCACCCACAAAGGGGAAAACAAACAAACATAAAAACAGTGGAAGTAGTAACACTATTGTGATGGTTATGTTTGTGTGTCAACTTCCCTGGGCCTAGTTGAGTGGCTGGGTAGCTGGTGGTAGTATTCCCCATGATGAGACTGGCAATCAACTCCATGGTAGGATCTACCACAAGCACCTGAGTAGCTGCCTTTGGGTATGTGGTCTGCTCCCCATATATAAGGAGAAACCTTTGGGAATGGCCTATGGCACGCTTGGACCCTGCATGTAGCCATGTTGTTGCTCAGTAGCTTGCTAAACTCTGCCAACCTTGGTACTTACAATGGACTTAAGTTAATGGCCTGCTGTGTGGTTTGGTAACATAGGGACTGTGCCTTTTTACTTGTCAACCTTGAGGCTTCTCAGCCTCCGCAGCCAGTGGCTGTCTGAGTGAATAAATGCTTCTAGCTCCAGTCACTGGGAGCAGGGGGCAGAACTGGACCCCAAGGTTGAGGGGCTTTCACCCAGCCCCTAGAGGCTGGCACTTTGAACTTGGACTTAAAGCCTCCAAATTGTAATAAACTCCTGTTTGTTTAAGTCACCCCATTTGTGGTATGTTTCCTGTCAGAGTGGTACTAGGTAACCAGAACAGAATTTGGTACTGAGAGAATGGTGTGATGCTCTGACAGATACCTAAAATGTGGAAACAGGAGTGGAGTGCGTCTTTGACCCGAGACCCTGGCAGAGAGACCCCGGCATACGGGAAGACAGACGGCAGGACAGATGGCAAGAGACTGGCATGAGACACGGCAGGAGCAGAGCCCAGAGACAAGCATGAGAGATGGCAGGAGCAGAGCCGAGAGAACCAGCATGAGACAGTGACAGCCTTACCAGCCCACAGAGGAGAAAGCCCGGTGCCATTGGGTAGATGGCTTCCTGGCGGAGTGGGTTGCCTTCGGGCATTAATCGATAGAGAAGACTGGTATAAAATGGAGTAGTAGGTTGGCCGGCCCACGGAGCAAGAAAGCCAAGTCTCCTTTGGACAGAAAGATGTCTGGCAGAGTGGTTTGCCCTTGGGCATTAATCGGCAGAAGTGGAGAGACCAAGGAAAAGGAAGCAGATCTGCCTCAGCCTGAAAGGGTAGGACCATGGCCTTTGGGGTGGAACCACCACAGCCCACTAGGTTTCAGAGCCAGACCTTCACCAACTTGGTTCTGGAGTGTGGGGCTGCTCATTCATGTGAGCCAGTGGGATGGAGCCATAGCTGCTGCCCAAGAGTGAGGGCGTGGAGCTGCCATGTCCAAGAGGGAGAGGAACAGGCCCTGCCAGTCCAAGGGGGTGAGGTCACCATTTAGGGGAACTAAGGAACTGGAGCCACCCGGTGGGGGAGACCTGTACAGATACCACACCATTGAAGATCTGTACAGGTGCCAAGTTGACAAGGGGTGGAATTGTGATGGTTATGTTTGTGTGTCAACTTGGCTGGGCCTGGTTGAGTGGCTGGGCAGCT